ATATCCTGCCTTATAAAGGGCATGCTGGCATTTATAGTCCATTGGAAGCTAGTGTTCTATGGTGTTCTCTGTGGTTCCTGCTTACTTCTGGCATTTGTGGGGTTACTATTAGTGTCAGCTGTCTATAACCTGCCTTCTAAAAGGCATGCTGGCATTTATAGTCCCCCAGAAGCTAGTGTCCCTTGGTGTTCTCTGTGGTTCCTGCTTTCTTCTGGCATTTGTGGGGTTACCATCAGTGTCAGCTGTCTATAACCTGCCTTCTAAGGGCATGCTGGCATTTATAGTCCCCCAGAAGCTAGTGTCCTATGGTGTTCTCTGTGGTTTCTGCTTCCTTCCGGCACTCATGGTGTTACTGTCAGTGTCAGCCGGGTCCTGGGAGTGCATAGTACTGCTGAGCCTGTCCCAAGTGACTGAGCCTAGTTCTAAACACACAGGATCATGATAACTCGATGAAACAACTGGCAATCAGACAAGTGTGCCAAGAGGATACAGAGTGCAAATGAGGTACTGAGACGCTCCGGCAATCTCAGAGCACAAAGAAGAGGTGCAGCCAACAATTACCAATTGTATCAACTCTAGACTGATACCAGAGGAGAGGTAACAGATATCATATGAGAGGGAAGTGCTCCTGTTATATCGGCTTCAAAATCAGATACAATCATCGCTTTCCCCCGCCCGGGGATTCTCCCTCGAATACTTCATATCATGTAGATGGATATTCCGCTATCACTACTCATGCTGTTCCACATTTCACTTGGCAGCTGTGACCGATGAGAGCTGTAGTGGAACAGTGCAGTAATGAGTAGTTTACTACTAACAGTACCTTTTATATTAATAACTGCAGAGGGTATTTCTGAAAGGGTTATTAGACCCTCGCATGTTTCGGCATATATCTATGGCTAGCGAGCAGTAGATATATGCAAAAACACAACAAAAAAACGTTTCAAAAGGGGTTAACACCTGTGTCTCTGCCGCGCGCTCCCGTCCGAACATCTGAAAATTTATCGGGCGGCCGCAAAGGATCATGGGGCGGGCGCATGCTCAGTTTAGATCTTCGGCCGGGAGACGAGGAGAGACACAAGGTAAGTCTATGGAGCAGCGTGCACCCGCACAGACTCCGTGGGACGTCAGAGGAGAGGAGGACAGAGGAGTCAGCTCTGGATCGTAGACCCGCACCAGCTCTGGAGGGACAGCTAAAAACTAGAGGAAAGAAGAAGATGATTGGATTAAGAAGCATCATTTAGGGTAAGTCCTTACATTAGCACTGTGGGGGGTGGGGGGGGGATTTGGCTTTAATGTCACTTTAAAGTTTCATACTTGTCTATACACACACCTCCCAGTCTGTGGATTTTACAAACAGAATATTGCCACTGCTAACCTGGCAATACCCTCATTGCAAATCTAGCAAGCCGCAGGACCCATGGTAAGATGCAGACCTATCCTCCTTTACCTTAGAGGTAGGCAAACTCTGGCCCTCCGTGTGACACTCATCCCTGCCCTGTGTGACACTCATCCCTGCCCTGTGTGACACTCATCCATGCCCTGTGTGACACTCATCCCTGCCCTGTGTGACACTCATCCATGCCCTGTGTGACACTCATCCATGCCCTGTGTGACACTCATCCCTGCCCTGTGTGACACTCATCCCTGCCCTGTGTGACACTCATCCCTGCCCTGTGTGACACTCATCCCTGCCCTGTGTGACACTCATCCCTGCCCTGTGTGACACTCATCCCTGCCCTGTGTGACACTCATCCCTGCCCTGTGTGACACTCATCCCTGCCCTGTGTGACACTCATCCCTGCCCTGTGTGACACTCATCCCTGCCCTGTGTGACACTCATCCCTGCCCTGTGTGACACTCATCCCTGCCCTGTGTGACACTCATCCCTGCCCTGTGTGACACTCATCCCTGCCCTGTGTGACACTCATCCCTGCCCTGTGTGACACTCATCCCTGCCCTGTGTGACACTCATCCCTGCCCTGTGTGACACTCATCCCTGCCCTGTGTGACACTCATCCCTGCCCTGTGTGACACTCATCCCTGCCCTGTGTGACACTCATCCCTGCCCTGTGTGACACTCATCCCTGCCCTGTGTGACACTCATCCCTGCCCTGTGTGACACTCATCCCTGCCCTGTGTGACACTCATCCCTGCCCTGTGTGACACTCATCCCTGCCCTGTGTGACACTCATCCCTGCCCTGTGTGACACTCATCCCTGCCCTGTGTGACACTCATCCCTGCCCTGTGTGACACTCATCCCTGCCCTGTGTGACACTCATCCCTGCCCTGTGTGACACTCATCCCTGCCCTGTGTGACACTCATCCCTGCCCTGTGTGACACTCATCCCTGCCCTGTGTGACACTCATCCCTGCCCTGTGTGACACTCATCCCTGCCCTGTGTGACACTCATCCCTGCCCTGTGTGACACTCATCCCTGCCCTGTGTGACACTCATCCCTGCCCTGTGTGACACTCATCCATGCCCTGTGTGACACTCATCCATGCCCTGTGTGACACTCATCCCTGCCCTGTGTGACACTCATCCCTGCCCTGTGTGACACTCATCCCTGCCCTGTGTGACACTCATCCCTGCCCTGTGTGACACTCATCCCTGCCCTGTGTGACACTCATCCCTGCCCTGTGTGACACTCATCCCTGCCCTGTGTGACACTCACCCCTGCCCTGTGTGACACTCACCCCTGCCCTGTGTGACACTCATCCCTGCCCTGTGTGACACTCATCCCTGCCCTGTGTGACCCCCATCCCTGCCCTGTGTGACACTCATCCATGCCCTGTGTGACACTCATCCATGCCCTGTGTGACACTCATCCCTGCCCTGTGTGACACTCATCCCTGCCCTGTGTGACACTCATCCATGCCCTGTGTGACACTCATCCCTGCCCTGTGTGATGTGCCTAACTACTTGATGACCGGGGTGTTCCAGCCCCTTCCTGGCCAGGCCATTTTTTAGTATTCAGCGCTGAGGTACTTTGACATTTATTCCGTCATGCAACGCTGTACTGAAATTAATTTCATACCATGTTTTAGTGACAAATAGAACTTTCTTTTGGTGGTATTTAATCACCACTGGGGGATTTAGATTTTTTACTAGATTAAGGAAAAATTACCAAACATTTTGAAAAAACACTATCGCAGCGCTGAATACTGAAAAATGGCCTGGCCAGGAAGGGGGTCTAAACACCTGGTCTTGAAGTGGTTAAATTGTGAAACATTTATTCTTGCCCAATGTCGGGTAAATAGACACCAAACATGTCTAGTCTTAAAATTGTGCGCGGCCGCAAAACCACCAAAAAACTACCATACCCAAAATTGGCCATGGGTGACGCTTTAAAAGCTTTTACCGCTCATCAGTTTAGTGTTATCAGTGATTGATGGCTCTAAAATTATTGCCCTCACTCCAACATTCGCAGTGATATGTAACATGTGCAGCGCAATTGTCATTTTCACGAGTTGGCGCACCCGACGCGTATTTACTTTTAAATGTGCGTTTACGTGGGGGTGGGGGTGGGGGATTTAAACATTTTTAATTTTTTTTAAATTTTGTATATGTGACTTTTATTTATTTTTAAAAAATGTTTACACTTAATGTTATTGCTATCACATAGGGGGCTAACAATCCCCCTATGTGATAGCACAGACACACTGACCAGTCCTCTTTAGGGACACAAGTGAGGAGAGAGCATGGAGCCGCTTCCCGGCCAATCAGGAAACCGGGTAGCGTGTAATGACGCGCTTTCTGATATAGGAAGTATCGGGCTAGGCATCGAAGCAATTGGGGCGAGTACGAGTATTGGCACCGATATCGATACTAGTATCGGTGCATCCCTAGGGCTGACACTGTCCTTCCTTCTGGAGGGTGGTTACTTTTGTTCCCCATGGTCCCTGTGTGTGTTGTAAAGTAGTCACCGCTCCAAACTCCCTCCTGTGATGGACTACAATCTCAAGTTTAGTTTACCAATTTGTATTACGATTGTAGTCCATCACAGGAGCGAGCTTGGAGTGGTGACTACTTTACAACACACACAGGGACCATGGGGAACAAAAGTAACCTCCCTCCAGAAGGAAGGACAGTGTCAGCACCAATTCAGAGACGATTTGAGGATATTACCATCCCGAAGAAAGCCAGGGGAGTCTAAGTAGCCCCAATCTGGTGAGATGTCACCACAACAAAGTGCAGTAGCATCTTCTCATGAGATTTGGGCTACTCAGCATTCCCCTGGCTTTCTCCGGGATGGTAATATCAACCTTGTGTAGGCGCCACAGGAGGGAGCAGGGGAAAGGTAAGTATAATTACCAACTTTTCCCCCCATAGGTATCTCTTTTTTTTCTTGCAGCATTTTTAGATGGGGGTCCCTTGGTAAATATACAGACCTTTTAGTTTTAATGCAAGCTCCCCTGTAACCATTTACACATCGGATATAGTTATTATTATGCCTAAGCAATATATGTGTGCACCAGTTTTAAGTATTTAACTTTCCTATCTCATTCTGGGTTTTTTTTTAAAAAGAATGGCCGGTAAAAAGCTTCACCCTCCTTTGTCCGTTCTTTGCCTTTGATTATTTTGGTCATACGGATGAACCCTTTCTAACAAAGCCAACCTTCTTGAGGAAGAGTGTTCTAAAGCATTCCTTCAGGGCTGCCTGTATGGGCATTGTGTCCACGCTGAATATCCCGAGATTGCCATTCATTTGTGTCACTAAATTAAATTTACTTATTGAACAGGCAGCCCGGTTATTCCTTTTCAAATAGAGAGCCGGGCAAATTAATTTGGAAGCCCAGGAGGAAGACAGAACTAGACAGTGCAAATTGTACTTTGCATTTGATTTGCGGTAACCTGTATTCCACAAGTAGTGCTTTCCATCATGGAACAGAGACAAGAAATGATTTGCTGTGACAATCAGAGTTAAATTATCCACTAAATGTAGTTTCATTTGCATTCCTACCTATAATTATGTTTGTTTTCCTTTTCTCAGGGATTCCTCTGTGAAACGAGTACTGACTCCAGCCTCTGGATATTAAGCTGTTCCGGATTAAGCTCTATTTGAAGATTGCGCAATACCCCATTTCCTTTGGATAATCTTGTTTGTTTTAACTCTGTTTAACCTTTGATGAAGTTTACCTTGTTGGCAGAGCATCATGGCATCCAGTTTGACATGCACCGGGGTGATCTGGGCACTCCTGTCTTTCCTTTGTGCCGGGGCTTCTTGTGTTGGGTTTTTCATGCCTTATTGGCTTTTGGGCTCTCAGTTGGATAAGCCAGTATCATTTGGTACTTTCCGGAGATGTTCCTACCCTGTCCGAGACGAAAGCCGCCAGACCACGGTGATGGTAGAACAGTGTGGCCGCTATGCCTCTTTCCAGGCCATACCAAGCCCCGAGTGGAGGATCTGTACCGTGGTTACTGGACTTGGATGTGGTCTTCTTCTTCTGGTGGCATTAACCGCCATCATGGGATGTTGTGTCTCGGAGCTTATCTCCAGGACTGTTGGGAGAGTGGCTGGTGGAATACAGTTTCTTGGAGGTAAGTTGGCTGGTTCTTTGATTTTTCACTTCTGATGTTTATGATATAAAAAAATGGCGCGCCTATAAGGGTTAGTTCACACCATATGCAGTTGTGATGCAGTCCGTTCAGTTTGACTGTTGCAGCCGAAATACATCACAATGCTTTCCTAAGGGCTTTCTCGTGCTGTATTCACACCATTGCAGTCCGTTCAGATGCAGTCAGAAAAAGTACTGCTTGTCCTATTTTAGCTGCATCTGATCGCACCAGAACACATCAAAACGCATGCAAATGCATCGGAACGCATAAAAAAAACCCAAAATTGATTGTGGCATCATCCAGGGGGGAAAATGCATATGAACGCATCACAAATGCGTCAAAACACATCAAAACGGATCGCAATGCAACTGCGCAGACGCGCGCAGTTGTGATGCAGTTTCTGGTGTGAACTAACCCTAAAGCTTTCTGTTTCTGTAGTGCTGCAAACATTAGGTGAAGTACCAGTTTCTGATGGTAGGATGAACTACAATGTATCACTTGCAGTAACTGAATAAGTCTCATTAAAGTTAAACTCCAGGTAAATGGCTAAATACACAGATGAAATGTATATATGGGAGCTTCTATACCTGCCAAAGGATTTAGAGCTGCAGCTAACGATTATTTTCAAAATCGATTAGTTAGCCGATTATTAAGTTCGATTAATCGGTTAATCGGATAAAAAATTTTTCTCCCCGCGTCCCTGTGCCGATCGTGAATTTGCGGGCGATGAGCGTGAGGCGGGGAGGAGGTGCGGCGTGTGGAGCGTGGATGCGGGCGGATCTGGCAGCGGCAAGCGTGAGGTGGGGAGGAGGTGTGGCGCGCAGCGTGTATGGAGCTGTGAACAGGGCCAACCAATCGGAAGCCGATTAATCGATGATTGAAAAAGTTGACAACTTTTTCAATAATCGATTATAATCGATTATGTCGATTATGTCGATTAGTTGTTGCAGCCCTAAAAGGATTTGTATTTATGTCCATCCAGTCCTGAGATTTACACAAATCTGGAACACAGCACTCCTGATTTTTCTTTGCTGCAGCTAAGTAACACTCACAGGGCTTTTCCCTCCTTCAGCTAGTGACTGGATATTGAAACAAGAAGCAGCAGACAGATAAGCTCATCTCTATGTCTACCCCTATTAGAATGTCTCTTGTAAGCATAGGAGCACTGCAGTACAACTGACTGTGCTGCTTCTCCATCTTGCAATCTGAGCTCTGCTGTACAGTAAATTGCAAAAGGCTGATACCAAGTCAGATTCAGATATTTATGCTGCTTGCATTAAAACAAAATACATTTATCAAATTCTTAAAGGATATGTTCACCTTTTGCAAAAATTCAAGAAATGCATAATTAATCATATATAACTTTACATTTAAGCCTGGAAAGCATTGCAATTGTGATCACTCGATCACACATGCAAAGCTCAGGCTTCTGCACATTGTCTTCCAGGCAGAGCTTTATACTGAGGTACGGAGTTTCAGTTAGGAGAGATGGGGGGAAGGACGGCTGGACTTCAAACTGCATTAAATCTCCTCATATAGCATCCAGCCGTTCTCGTTCTAGGTAGATGCAGGAATATGGGAAGCTCCACCGCATTTAACCAGAGGGAGGATGGCTGGACGGCATTTAACCAGAGCGAGGACGGCTGGACGCCATTTAACCAGAGCGAGGACGGCTGGACGCCATTTAACCAGAGCGAGGACGGCTGGACGCCATTTAACCAGAGCGAGGACGGCTGGACGCCATTTAACCAGAGCGAGGACGGCTGGACGCCATTTAACCAGAGCGAGGACGGCTGGACGCCATTTAACCAGAGCGAGGACGGCTGGACGCCATTTAACCAGAGCGAGGACGGCTGGACGCCATTTAACCAGAGCGAGGACGGCTGGACGCCATTTAACCAGAGCAAGGACGGCTGGACGCCATTTAACCAGAACGAGGACGGCTGGACGCCATTTAACCAGAGCGAGGACGGCTGGACGCCATTTAACCAGAGCAAGGACGGCTGGATGCCTATGAGATCATTGAATGCAGTTTGAAGTCCAGCCGTCCTTCCCCATCTCTCCTAACTGAAACTCTGTACCTCAGTCTGAGCTCTGCCTGGGAGATAATGTGCTGAAGTCTGAGCTTTGCAGCGGTGATTGAGTGATCACAATTGCAATGCTTTCCAGGCTTGAATGCAAATATTAAAGAAATACGTATTTTTATATACTGTATATTATAAATTATGCATTTCTTTAAGTTTTGCAAGAGGTGAACTGATCCTTTAAGAAATACAATAATTGCAATAATGTGTCTTTTATATCTGCCTGGAGTTCAGCTTTAATTGCTGGACATGCGCTTACAGGATGGGTCACATATATATTTGCAATAACAAAAAATGCTATTGTTATCCAGGGGTCTTCTGTCATGAACAATCTGACCCTCTGCCCATGAAGCAGCATATAAAGTATCTAGAAGGGGAACTCGGTCTTGCAGTGTCTGCAGGAAATTGGCTGACATTTTCCAGTCCATATAATACACTTTTGCCTAGTAAGTGTGCTCTGAGCTTATCTAATACAAACATGCACAGCCCGGTTGTGATACCAAGCACCCAAACTGTTACTGGATGGTATTCAGATTTGTGAATGGTTATTCTTTAGACCTGGAAGAATGCAGTTATGTGGATTGGGCAGAGATGGAAATGGTCTAGAAGCCACATGGTCAGTACATATGAAAGACATCTTGTGAGCCTTTTCTTATCTTGGTATCACCTGGTGCCTCCTAGATAGTACAGACTGGCTTCTAAATCCCATATCAGTTTGTGCAGTTGCAGTGAGTTTCTGAGCTGTTCTTGCGTACTTGGGTACTTTAAAGTGAAATTATCAAGCAGAAAGGAAGTAGACGACCGGGCCTCTCATCTGTTTCAAAAAGAAAACACATTTTCTATGTTAGCCACTAATCCTTATATTACAGTATCAACATTATATGGAACATGAAGTTCTGAACATGGTTTTCTTCTCTACAGCAGGTGATGAGTCACCTTTGTCTACCACATGACAGAAAGCTGGTTATACACTGCCTGGCCAAAAAAAAAGTCACCACCTGGATTTAGCTAAACAGATAGGTGAGAGACTTCCATTAGATGCAATGTTTTGTGCCCAAACAAATGAGGTCAGCTGCCTACCTGAATATACTGAACGACCAGGTTTTTCCATCAATGGATTTTTTTCTTCCTTGATGGCACGGGCAGTGGCGTCATAAGGAGGGTGCGGGTGGTGTGGCCCGTACCTGGGTGCCACCATTGGAGGGGTGACACCAAAATGACTGACAGTCATTTTGGTGTCACCCCTTATGAAATGTCGGGCACTCGGTCGCGGACCGGGAGCCCGGCAGTGTCAGGAGAGAGAAGGGGATCAGGTGGCATACTTTATCCCGCCGGGTGAACGTCCCCTCCTCTCTCTGCCGGCATCCATCACCAAGGGTGCGGACAAAAAAACGATCTGGTCCGGAGTTGGTGTGAACAAGCCCAGTGTCACCTCCTGCATCAAGGGGTATTTTTGGATTCTATGTGTACTTGGCGTGGGACTGTCCCGGACTTTATAGAGGTGTCACCTTGCTGCAGACCTCAGGAAGAGTCTGAACCTAATATACACCAACACGGTCTGTTGCAGTGCTTTAATAGGAGAAATACTGATGGGGAAAGCAATGATGGGGAACAATTGCATCAGCAGCAAATTACATTTCTTAGGGGATTCTTCACAAAGACGGTGTACAGAATGAACCCAATGTAGACATGGTTGGCATGGTTACAAAGAAGCAACATTTCAGTTTTCTTTGCAGTTTTTGGAAATCATCGCCGAGTACAGACTGAAGGAAAGGTCACTTTAACAACATCACATTGCACAAGGCTTATGTAGCTATTATGTATTGTTTATCAATTGTAGGTGAAAACTGAGTTTTCCTTTAAATGCTGTCTGTGTTGTTGTTTATATATTTGATTTTAGTCTCACACGCTGATACCGGGCAATGAAACGCAGAATGTGGTTAATATATGCAACACAGGCAGTCCTTGTTTCAGGCTAAACCCCTGTACTGTCTGACACAGTTAAAGTGATATTAAAGTCAAAAGGTTTTCAAGCTATTAACTCACTTACAATGGATGCTGCTCCTTGATGTTTAAAAGTTGTAGTTTCCTGCAGAATCAGCTGGTCCCCTGAGCACTGGCCCTGACTTCCTGTTTTAGGGTGGAGTCACCCTTGTATGGGCTAGTAAGCTGTGTGTGTCTCCACAGACACACAGACACAGCAAGGCAAGACACTGCCCTCTTCACTGCTCCCTCTTTCTTCCTTTTTCCAAGCTAGTTGATGGACCTGCTGCAAACTGTGCTTTCCTCTGTGATCGTCTTCTGGACAGGAAGTTCAGGGAAGCCGAGCTGAGAGAGTTGGAGTCATTAGATAACATGATGATTGTGAGGGTTTGGGTAAAAATGTCAGAAATACTTTGCTGGCCAATGAGTATTTGTTTTATCTGGATTCATTATTGAGATAATGTTTGAGAGTTTAATACTACTTTTAATGTAACAGGTTCACACCATTTTCCGGACCAGATCTGGTCCGGAAAACAGTGTGAACCTGCCCGCAGTTCTAGTGCATTCCAGACCAGACAAAACGAGACGTGCAGTATTTTTCTGGTCTGGAACGGACTGCGCTGGTGGGAACAGAGGCCAGAAATTGCATAGGGATACATTAGGATGCATTTTGTGCCCGGAAATAATCTGGTCTGGTCTGGATGTGGTGTGAATGGGCCTTAAGCTGTCACTGTATCCATAACACTTATCATGGTGTGAAGATATTTCCGTGTCCCTTTATGAAGCAGAGTGCAGTCAGTGGTGCTCAGTATTGTATTTCTCTTTTGTGTGTTTCATGTTTATATATAAAGCTTGCTGTGTGTGAACATTAAAACAGATGTTTTGATACGTCCTTTTGAGCACAGAACAAAAACA